ATATTTACAGAAGTTGTTACAAATAATGCAGACAGCATGTCTGCAATTTGAAGCGCACCGGAAGAAAGCTCCGCCTATAAAAGTGGCGGTACATTAGTTTTGAATTTCTCCTCCAATGAACGATCGAGGCTCTCAACTTAGTTTCGTACTTCAATTTACGTCACATGTTATTTCAGTGAGAGGGGCGTATAAAGTGGTGGCACTGTAAAGAACGTTAGTTACCGGGAGAGCTATTTTACAGAACCAGCTGACCGACTGATCATGACAGAATTATTGATCAAAGTGCCTGCAACAAATGTCCTATGAAGACTTCATCCAGTATATCAATAATGAAATTGAATACATGAAGTAGAATGGATGTTATTCGATTATTAGTTCTCGACGATGAGAACCAAAAGGTTGACGTGCCACCAAATAATCGCTTTAAAAAGCCTATCACTGGCAACACACGATCACACGTCTGGAGATGGTTGCCGCCGTACACAAGTAGTTTTTGTTGAATTTCCTGTCCGTAAATGCGCAGTCACAATGTTTTATAATTTTCGACATAGTCTATAATGTTGTCAGTTTCCTGGCAGTATACTCTCGGTGGTAACAAACACCATTTCGATCTCAGCTAATGACAGTCCACGAAAATACAAATCGACAACTCTTGTTCTCACTTCAACTGTTTTTTGACTCCTTGCTTCTCCATCGTGGTGCTTAAACAACTTGGACAAATGCCGATTTGTGGACACGCAATCAACACGATGACTGACCAAAAGTGAATGAAAGACAGACGCGCCTCAAAGTCTAGTGTACCTGACTTTGTAGCAAAAATAGAAAACATTGTGGGCAATATCTGTCAATGATTCCTCTGATTTGCAGCTGATGTTTATATTTCTAGTTACAACTTATGTATATTTGAAAACAAAGTGTATAACCTATTCTAGTAAGTTATCAACATCTAGCACTACTTCAGCATCAAATATGTGCCTGGAATTGCTGTAATAGAAGATTAGCTTGGTAATGTTGAACCATTTGTTTCAGCGACATATGATATTTTTGTCAAAACCACTGTTTTGTTCAGCCTAGTTTATAGCTGAATGAGTTATTGGACCATCTGTGGGTTCCAGTGTCATGTGATATTTATGTCGTAGTAGGTCATCAAATCCACCATTTTGTTAAGCCTAGTTTATAGCTAGATGAATTATTGGACCATTTGTGTCATAGTAGGTCATCAAATCTACCATTTTGCTCATCCTACTTTAGCTAGGTATAAAGTTATTGGAAGGTCAGTGGGTTTCAGTGTCATGTGATATTTACGTCATAGTAGGTCATCAAATCCACCATTTTGTTCATCCTAGTTTATAGCTAGGTTATTGGTTTGTCTGTGGGTTTCAGATCCACCAATTTGATTATCTTAATCGTAGCTATTTGTGTCATATTTGTGCACTAGTCATTTGAAACCCTGACGAAACAGACAATCTACACATCCTGGGACATTTACATACCCACCCAAGACCCACTAAATTTCACACTGTATTGACCATATCAGGGTGGTGGGGGTTTGTAATATTAAATTGGATTGACCCAAATATTAGACAATTTCATGTGCATGAGAAACTTTCTTTTACCAGCACATAACCCTGGGTATTGATTGGAAGAGATATCTAAAACAAGATCAAATATAACTAGTCCAATAGTCATTATCCATATTGGTAGATGTTCACAATATGGTACTTATCTGAACTTTCCTATCTGTTTTAGATTCTAGAAATCGTCATCGTCGTGCAATGCATCTATCACAAAGGGTAAATGAAATTGATCCCAATGTGGTTGAATGTAGCAGTGATGAAGATGATCTTCAGATACTTCCTGTTGTTTTAGATGTAGGAATGCACACAAGGTAAGTCTCAATGAACTTTTTTGTACAAACACACTTTACTCCACAGGGCGAAGTGTGAAACTCGCATCCCTCAAGTTGGATCCTTAGATAGCAGTGAAAAAACAAATAACAAATTACTTGTTTATATTCATCTTTCAACCAGTTGGTTGTTCTCTAAAATTTGTACAATTTGAGTTTCCTCAAACATTCGATACATCATTCATGTGTATCGAACTGTTCAGAATTTATTGATGAATGTGAATTAACTGAATCTCCAATACATCTTAAAAACTGATAGTTGCTGTTGACATAGGAAGTACCGTAAGCAAATAACACTGAATAAACGACAAGGTAAATACTACGTCAAATTATAGTAAACACGTACTGTGTGCGTGACTCGAACCGGCGCTCACGTACGGCACCTAATCGCCTAGCTTAACGCCACTACACGTCTTCTCTTCGGCCACCTAAGTAAAGTTCTTTCTCTATTTGTTCCAGTCCTGATGGCCTTAATGCTGGTTCAAGTGACAATACAACAGTAGATACATCACCAGTTAGAAGATGTATTACATGTCCTGTATGTATGGATGATGAGAAACAGGTACCGAGACTAATATATTCAAAACATTAAATAGAACACTGTCATCGTAATTACGCTTATGGTTGGGGTGAGTCCCATGCAACATGAATGTGTACCGTAGCAACTGATTTTCCCAGAACTGTCTATACTATCAAAACCACAATTTTTGTAGCAGTGAATATTTCACAGGAGTCACATTACACTTTCGCAATACGTCATGCCATAAAGTGCTTATATGTAAGCAGTGTTATTCAACTTAACAACTGTGATTGGTTGTGTAGACGTTAGTCATTTAGAGTACCGGGGGTATAGTAAATATCTCATATTTACGGTGAACTATTTATTGTCAACATGCCATTATTTAATAATCTTAACTTTGTGTTTATTTCTTTTTTCAGATAAAATCCAATAGACGGCATTTAGTATCAACTGTATGTGGTCATATATTTTGTAATAAATGCATAGTGGGAGCTATACAGTCACAACATAGGTGTCCAGCATGTAGAAAGAAGATATCAATGAGACAGTTTCATCCTATTTTTCTATAGAAATTATTTTCATAGTCTGAGCTTTGTTTACTACGCATCCTGGCTTCCACCGTGAATGGACTATCCCTATGCTGAAATATGATATAGATACCTGCAAGACCAAGAACCCCCCCGAGCTGATTCTACTGATTCATGGCAGCTGTGAGGGTGATAGACCCCTTCCATGCTGGAAGCAAAGCTGGAACACCATTTATGCTTTTTGTTAAGAAACATCTGAAAAATGATTGGGAATAATATTTGTTGTTGCTGGACATGACTTCTGTTTTATACAAAATCAGGGAAGTTGATATGCATGATGTTGTTGACTGAGAGGCCTTCCAATGTACATACCTCAGGTAGAGCGGGTAATGTTCACAGAAGTGTACAGTAGGTGTGTATTTATAGGGGATGTTGTTTTGTATGTAGCAAGTATTTATTGTTAAATTTACATGCTAGTGATATAAAAAAAAGGTAATTTCTTTTTAAAAAACTGAAATTGCGAGTCGCGCAAATTATGACAGATTGCATGACTCTTTTACAAATGAACAAACCGTGGTATTTATGTACAATATTAGTTTGAACACAACATAGGAATTCTTCCCTTGTACCGATACCCCTCATTCAAAAAAGTAAATGGCTTTTCAACGATCATAATAAATTATTATTATTAAATCAATTTTCTGAGAGAAAACAAAAAATGGAAATTTTGGCATGAATCAAATTATCTAAAAAAAATAATTATCTAAAAACATTTCACAACCTTTGGACTTGACGCATCACATGGGATCTCTTAAAAGTATTGGAAGAGCACGATGCGATATTTCTTTTAGTGAAATTAACTATTCTCCATGAAATATTTTATAGAAATGAAAGAAATGCTCTATCATTTCAATAGCTTACAAGATGAGAACTTTCAGTGTGAGTGCCCTCTGTAGTCAACATTGAGATATGCTGCATAGTGGTTGTTTCAATATGGGTACAATAAGAACTTCCTCAACACTGTTCAATTAATTAGTCTATATACTACCTTGCCTTGCTTTTTGCAGTCTCCAGAGTTCAGGTTGATGATTTAGATTGAGATGCATTTTAGGGGATATTGCCGAATTTGTTGCCTGAAAGTTCTTAATTAACTTAAAAAGTATGCTGGTGGTTGCAATGTGGTCGTCGTCTATATCTTGACCACTTAACTCTTTGAATGCCAAAGTTCCTGTTTCTTTTTCCTAAAAAGACCTGTAGCCAATGGGAAATTAATTGAAAGCCCTTTTAATTTTAAGTATCTTGACCAAAAATTAAATCCATTGGCAATTGATACTTATCTGAAGCTGGCGTTATTGCGCTGTTTAACAACAATAAGTCACATCATCCATTCGTGTTCAAATTCTGTTTTGGGAGTGCACTAAACATAACTATCGTAACCTTGGAAGTATGTAAAGTTCCAAGTTCCAAGTTCCTAGTTCGAAATGAAGGAAATTTATTGCTATACGGGAGACAACTAAAGAGTCTAGCCTGCCTCTCAGATCTTAATGGAAAATAGTTGCACATTGAATATTGATTTTGTAATATAGTACATCTTTGATTGTCGAACAGAGAATCTGGATCTTGTGTGATTTGGTGACTTGATGACACCCTAAGATGCTGAAAACTCAATCACAACCAAAGCCGCATAACTGCTCGATAATTTTCGGCCATTGACAAAGCAGATGACTTGCAAATTCTATAGCTTTGGAATTACAGTACACATATTACTCAACATGTTAAAGGCTACAAACAAAATTTAAAAAAAAAAAAATACCCCAAAATCAGACAAAATTGTGGCATTCAAAAAGTTGGTACTGTGACACTGTGCGAGTTATCTTTATAGTGTTAACAGTGGTAAATAAAATAAGAAAGCCTCTAAAGCTGCATCTCTTCCTAATGCATGATACCCACATTATTCTGAGTTTAAACTGCACAGGATGCACTTCCTAAAATGCCTTGGCTCACTAATTTTGACGGTCTGTATAACGACCAATATAAGTTGGTTGAATGTGACCAACAAAATATAGAGATCATGTTTTGTAATTCTATTAGTATCAAAGTGATTTATTTTAAAATTTACATATAAATTTTTTTATATAACATGCAATTAGCTTAAACGTGGGAGGGTCGTCCCCTGTGCACGCATGGGAATCAAGTCCCTAGCGATAACACACGCTAAAAACGCAAAAGGCTCATGGGTAGATGCTTGTTTGTAAACAATGACACGCTATTGCTATCTGACGCATGCGTAGGTGACGACACTCCTCGCTTTAAAAAAAAGTTTGTATTGGAATTATTGAAACTAAGATCTGTTTAATTAACCTTTATTTGGTGACTAACAACAGAAGTTAGTGTTAAAACTAGTCAATAATAGTGTGTAGTTATGATTGTTTTACTCTTGTTTACAAGATGCTGCCAAGTTGAGTGACTGATGTCAGTTGTGTTATCATTCAGAAACCCTTTGGTGTACATGTTTGATGTACATCTGTCTGAATGACCAGTTGGAGAGAAATTGCATGGAACAATTACCGTAATATGTTGGATTAATGTGTACATGATTGGTATTCATTGGTTTGTTGAATGTATATTAGACTCCCTATGCTTATGATCTTTCTTTGTTATAATTCTCTATGCTTATAGAATTTGTTATACCTTGACTCCCTATGCTTATAGAATTTGTTATACCTTGACTCCCTATGCGTATAGAATTTGTTATACCTTGACTCCCTATGCGTATAGAATTTGTTATACCTTGACTCCCTATGCTTATAGAATTTGTTATACCTTGACTCCCTATGCTTATGGAATTTGTTATACTTTGAAAATTATACTTTGGAATGCTTAATTCAAAAGTTTCCACGACTTTGCAGCCCTATAAGATATTGAAAACCAAACAAGCAGTTGACAAACTGACTGACTGACGAGTGTAAGGAAGGACGGACGGATGGACGGACAGATGAATCCAAAGCTACCTTTAGGCATATTTTTTACTGTTAATTTGGTATTAAATAGTTTAAGATCTTTGTAACTGTAATGTTTTGTTTTAGTTGCACACATGTCCATTTAAAAAATAAAATCATCTAATAATATTGTGAACTGTTTCTTGGTTATAGTATAAGAAAAAGATGTGTGTTTAATTGTGCATGATAGAGGGACTTGCAATAGGTAACTGTATGCATCAGAGTGAGATCAAGTTGTATTGTTGGTAACATTCTCTTTGATGCCTTTGGTAAATATCGTGATAACCACAATATCCGCATCAATTGCCAAAGATTTCTGTAGATTCATTAATTTTGTTTTCAGCATTAAATTCGCTAAATTGTATGTGGAATTTGCTGTTTGAAGATGTGCCACATGAAAGAATTAATATTAAATGTGAGATGCACACCAGACTTGTGAGTTGCTTTCTGGATATACATTAGGTCTCTTCCTTCTTAAAGCGCAGTAGTCGTGCTGCGCATGTGCGAGATATATGGGTCTCATATAAACAAAGATGGCAACTTTGACTGTTGCGCTGATCAACGAGTATGAACTCAGACGTTTGCGCAGATGAACGAGTATAAACTGAGACGTTTCCAAGCTTTAATTAAGTAATTTTCATGTTATTGGAAGGCATCGAAGGAATCACCGGCGGTAATCAGTGCAAGTCGCACCAAGGTCAAACCTCATACTTGTGATTTCCATTTGAAGAGCGCATTGGATTGTGGGAAAATCAATGTTTATCAACACAAATGTGGCACATGCGACGACGACGACTACCGCGCTTTAATTTTATACAACAATGTACTATGTATACTTGTGTTGGCACTGTGCCATGACTTGCCAGGGTTACTTGTGAGTAAGTCCACACACTTGATGAATTTGAAACAATGCTTTATAGGATTTATCTTAGTGGAGACCACGATAAACGAAGCATCAAGTCCAGTTTTTGATCAGCATACGTCATAAACGCTGTAAAGTTTAGATTTCATGTTTGGTGAAGTTACTCAAAATGGAAAGAGCTTTTAATTAAATTTTCCTAATGATACATCTTTAACAATCATATACCAAAATAATGTGGGTAGATTCTTGTAAGCCAATCACAAGGCTGAATGCATAATTTTTGTCTGCTTTTCTCATACAACTGAAATCGCAATAGATTTGCCATAGTAATATAAATTACATTCCTCCAGTGTTGATATTCTTCAAAGCCCACATATTCTACTATGCTCTAAGAAACCAACAAACTGCTATGTGTTATGATTGAAGAAAGGAATATTTAACTTAGTTGAATAGACTTATGTATTTTATTTGTAACGAGACTTTATTTGATATTAATAGCAATCAATCTCGGAATTAAAAAAAAAATTATTCATTAGTAATAAAAAACCTGTATAAATTATATACTGTAAAATTATTAATTGGGTTTTAATTTTTCTATTTTTGCTCACAAGTTAAGTCCACTAAATTGAATACACATGAACATGTAAAACAACAATATAACTCATTTTTTCTCTGCCAAATTTGTTAACTTAAAGCCCAGTGAAAATCCGCTAAATTACTCAATGTGAACATGTAAAAACTACAATAAACTCATAATTACGCTGGAAAATCTGATTCTGAAACCAAGTGAATGTGATCAAAGTAGTGAAATTTAAATACCAGTGAAAATAAATGGTTTTACAGTACATGTACTGGATCATACTAAGGGGCATCACTATATACACACAGAACTGAACCACAGTTAAATGCAGATACAATAATGAATTAAGGATAGTTGGTATTTTCCGGTTATAACATCGTTATTAACCATACTATGGTAAGTATCTTGTTGTGGCTCCAAACTGAGACATATCCAACAAAGAGAATTTGATCCTTCAGTTCATGAGACAATGCTATTACAAGATTGTGACTGATGGCTACCCAACCCTAACATCCAACAGTCAGGCCAATCAGAAAGCAGCCGTTTGTTGACAGTTGTTTTCAATGTATAAAATTCTGCCTTGTATATATATTTGAATGAACTTAACTTCGCAAGAATATACTCGCATGTATAAATAAACCCATGTGTGTATATGTTTTTTTTTATTCATTTTCAATGGATGAGGCTGCTTGGTAAGTTGCGATCCCTGATAAGTCACTGTTTTTGCTTGGATCCTGACATCAGTGAACTAGCGAGGGGTCACTGTATTATGGTGCAAGTGTTTTTGATATGCTCTTTTGACCAGGTTGCATTAAATCCTAATAACTGGGCTGAGCCTAAATATTTTATAATCGTTCGCCAATGATGATGTCAACTTTACATAAACAGACTTTACATAAAAATGATGTACCAAATTTTTTGCAAGAAAAATTGTTATAATTAATTACCGGTATATACCAGTAAATGAATAATATAATAATTAATGAAAACAACAATGATATACATATTTAAAAGTGTGATGACCTGTTTGAATGAAGAAATCTCTGTTATCTTTCTGAAAATACTAAAGTATTTCTGACTGAAATTGACAGGATACTAAGTCTGTAAATGTGTCCCGACTGTTTCAAGATACTGTTTTGTTAAATGTTTTTAGAAATGTGTTTCCCAACTCAGTAATTCACTAAAATATAACACTATTGATGGGCCAGTATATTCCATGACAAAGCATTGTATTTCAAAACCCAGAAATTCACACCTCTCATTGTCTTGTGAGTCATAGAAACGCATCCCTTACCAAATTGTACGCGCCAATAGTATATTAATTGTATACATATTCTGTACAAAAAGTATACTTTTTTGAAATTGTGTACATTATTTGTATACAAAATTTATACATACAAGAAAACAGCAGTACCAGGGGTACATTATTTGTATACACACTTTATACAAATTCATTAATGTATATTTGTTGTAAACTAGAAATGTACAGACTTTTTGCATAGGATTCAATGCCTAAATATTGTATAATTTACATATACATAAAATGTACAATATCATGACTAAGAAATAAAGAGTAACCAAAAAAATGTATGTTAGATTGATGTCAGAATGAAGTATAATTTATGTATACATTAATTGTACAAATTAGTGGCTTGGCATCTTGACAAATATTAGTACTATATCTGTATACATAGAATGTACAAAAATTGGACTTAGAATCTGAATAAACTTAACTATGCTCAATACAATGTACTAGTATGTATACATAAACTGTACAAAAATATGGAATTTAATATTCAATTAAATTCATAAGAGAGTATAAAAACATTTTTAATAGATTAATTACAGGAATACTAAAGTATATTTTTGGATATCAGTAAAATTATATTTTTACTACAGTTTACTGAAAGAATTCAGTCAAAGTCATTTAGAGTTTGCCTAATTTGCATATATTACAAATTATTTTGTTTTGGATGCTAACATGACTTATTGCCAATTTTTATGAACTTTTTCTTGATCAATTTAACTAAATTAAAATTTAATTTCTCATTATATATCTAGTTTTGGCATTTTCAGTTGAGGAAAATACAATGAAATAAATCAGTATTACTCTCACCACAATCAGTTTGTTGTACATCCCTGGCTCACATACTAGTATATGTCAAACAGATACAACATAGGTTGTAAATGAATGTACTATAGTCAGTCAGGTAAGCATAAACAATTGATAAATTGAATTCTAAATGTAAGTATGGGTAAATACAAATACATGCTGCTGTGTAATAAGACCACACACTTGGGCAAAAGAAACACACAATGAAGTTGAATTTCATTTTGTTAAATAAATGCCCTTTATATGAATTGAGCTTTGTACAATTTTTGTATACAAAAATGTTCCAAATATGGGATACTTCTTGTATACAAAAGTACATTTTTTGTACACTATTTGCATAGTATTTGCATACTTTTTGTATACAAATCTGTTCCAAATATAGGGTACTTCTTGTATACAAAAATCATACATAAAATGTACAAATTTATTCAGAATTTGTATACTTTTTACACACAAAAAGTATACATTTTGTCTAATGAATTTTGGTAAGGGATGGCACCAACTTAGATATGAAAGAGCGGGGGGGTCCTTGTGCATGCTGTCAGTGATGAGTTAACATCCATTTTTAATTATTGGTAAACATACCAATCAAGGAATAGCCCTTTGTCAAACATTACTGTTTAACAGCATTCACTGACTGTTTACAATTAAGCTATAGTTCAAGTACATTTGATAACAAAATTATTTTTCACCTAAGTCTCTCCAAAAACAAACATTATGTAAAAACATAGCAGTGCTAGTTTGTTTAATATTTGTGTAGCATCTTGCTGATATTCAGATTTTTTTATTAGGTATAGTATTTCTTCTACTATAGTATGAAGAAACATTTTTCCTGTGTTAAAAAAATATATTTGAAAACAAAATATGTTTTTCCGTTCTCTTTAACTTAAAAACAATTATACATATGGTACTGGTGTACTAGTACACTGTATATATAAAAATAAAATAAAGCTGAACTCGAATGTTATATTAATCAGAGGGGACATTGTACCATATTAATCGGACAGTCCCTGGCATTGACACCGCCCGACACAATGGTCCAATCAGCTACACTCTTTCAACGTAAGTACATTCTAACCAATCACAGCACCGTTAACGTCGATCAACAAGGTCAGCGGTCAGTTTTGAATTTTGAAAGGATGATGTAGTGGGTTGTTTTCCGTGTACGGATATAAAGCATCTTATCAAAACTTACCATTGATTCTAAATCTAACAGGTAAATAGACTTATTATTTTGTTATTATGTCATATTTATTTCGTATATTTTCTCGACTAATTTACATCTTGTTATTTGTTACGAACTAGGCGACTATGTAGTTCGTCCTTCCGGAGTCGTCGCCTTGGAACATCAGTGGGCAATGACACGAACACAGTGTGAATATCGTTTACATTTTGTAAGATTCGGCGTGCTCTGTTATGTTTTCTGACCCACAAAGCATGATCTTAGTAGTGTTTAATATCCGCGGGTTCTTTTTCCCGTTGTGTTCCCCGTGAAACAGGTTCACACGTACTCATTCAAAATTTCCTTTGTGTCATGTTTTTTTTTTTTTAATCGGATTTGAGATTAATGATTTGGCCATTTAATGTGTCTTGGCATTGTGATTATGGTATAGGATTAGGTAGGTATACTGTATATTAATTGGTCTCAGTCTTAAATGGTCTTTAATATTTATTCAAGAATTTTCCAATTTCTTTTTTTGGTATTGGCAATTGTGAGCCCATTCAATTTAAATTTCTACTATTAGTACTAAGTACCGTAGTCTGAAAATTAGATAATCATATTACTGTGACAATAATTTTGTTTTCATTCATCGTTTGTTTACTTCAAGCTGCAGTTCTTAACACCATGACGAACGAAATAATCGACAGCAAAACCAAGCAAGCTGCAGCTATTGTTAAACTGTGACAATATTTTATATACCTGTATCTTATTTGTACATAAATCAATGCCTGTATGTGATTTTAGATTATTTAGTCAACCATTTCCGCTATGTGCTGGTAGTGGCAACATGTCATATAATATTGTCTCTTTATGGCAAGCGTTAATAAATTCTAGCAGCAAGAGTACTTTTCCATTCTTTTAGAAATAATAGTCTTGATTTTGTTGTGTTTTAAATAGGGCCTGTGCTTTGTATGTTGGTAAACCAGCACTGCCAAACTCAAAACACAAAAAAACTAAAACAATGAAAAAAATATGTGCATAAAACCAATCTGATGCCATATTGTTTATGTCATTTACTAAGATTTGCATCACTCATGATTACTGACACCCTTTAACATTTTCAGTCAGCAATCACAAGTGATTATCTTTTTCCAATGCTTTAAAGCGTGGCTCAGCAATCCCAGGGATTGCACCAATTACATGTGAAATGTAATTTGCATGTTCCGCCCAGTTGTTTACTTGGTACACAGCTGTTATCCTTTCAACCGAAGGTGTTAATTCCGTGAGCTAACATCATGCATTATGTCATATGTTAAATTTGAGAAATATACTTGACATAATGTCGGGAATGTATTTGTTGCCGAGCCCCTAGAAAGAACCTTGATTTTGTCATGTTATCATGACAAACCAGGCCTGTCACATTCGCAAATAAACTAATCTAGGCCTGTACCCATAGCTTGGTTCATCTTTTCATCAACAATTGGGTGAATCCGTCTTTTTTCCCTTCTCATAACTGACCTAGTTCACCTCTGTTGTCGCTGGAAAATTAGAATCGAGCAAGTTTACAAGCCCTGGAACTGCCAATGCCTTTCTTTGCACACATAAACTAAGGAAGTTATTGGAATTTTTACCTTCTCTCGTACACTCCCCAACTCCTGCCATCCGCACTAGCTCGGGCCGGACCACTCTGTGAATGAAGTGAATGGACAAACAGCTCACAGCATATCATTTCCTATTAGCTCTCAAATATCACTTACCCATACATCATCAACTCCATAATTACATGATAAACATACCTAGAGATTGAACAAATAACTCGGGATTAACACCTTGTATTTGCATAAACCCATGACTGACAGCCAGTTTGAGCAGTCAAAACGACTGTTTGAATCATGCTTTTCCGTCGCTTTTTACACGGAAATCACACTGACATCGCTTCAAACTTGTGAATTAACATCCAAATTGTTTCGCGGATATATTCATGTTTGTGTGAAATATGAAAATAATGTGCCACAGGCATTAAGATTGTTGAAAAAAGGGTCGTTTTGTGGAGCACTCCGAAGTGATGTTTCACGCTTGAGTGCATTGGCATACTGAAAACTGGCGGCCATCTTTCCTAATTTTCATACTCATCTTGTTCTGGATCATCCATAAAGCTGGCTTCCAAACTGTTTTTTTGGCACACTTGTGAATATGATATTAGTATAGTCACAACAATGTGCAATATGAAAACAGAAATAATTTAGCCATAGTACTACCCAAACAAAAGTTACTTAGTCCAAAATCAGTGGTGCCAGGGGAAATGAGAATCATACCGAGAAATGTAGCAAATCATGTTCATAACCTTAGAGCATTTGATAGTGTCAATAAGAAATTTCCTCTTTATTATTGCAATGCTCATAGAGACTTTCTAGGGAGTTTGCAAATTCCCAGTACGAATCTTGTTTACTGTCAAGAAACAATTCTTGATGGTGATAATTATTATATGATTATCATAAAAATAGAATATATTTAGGAAACATACTAAATACTTTTTCAACATTCATGAAAATAAACATTTTTATCATATTGGT